GTCCTGTGTGACAGTGAATATCAGCAGCACCTCAGTGTAATAATACCTTATTGAGTTACTCATATGAGGCAAAATTGTATTTTTTTGGTCAATAAATATATTAATAATAATAATAACTACTCTTACCACTCTCCAAAGGCAGGGTATATATATATATATATATATATATATATATATATATATATATATATATATATATATATATATATATATATATATGGATTACCCTTCTCCTATCCAGTCTCTATCCCCTCTTCAACCTGTTCATTTCTCCATCCTCATTTTCTTTCATATAGTCTCCTCATTCTCTTCTATTGTCTCATCTTCACACACTGGTCTTTTCCGCCACCATCTTTCCTTCCCCGTCATCTCTCTGTCCCATCTCCACCTCCCTTTCCCAGCCTGATCTACCCCATACCTATTCCATTTCATCAGCCTACACCCGCGCGGCGTCGTCTTCAAGGTCTCAGACACCTGGTGTCAGGTCTTGGCGCGTCTTGTACACTCAGCCAGCCGGTTCCTTCCCGGCGTAGCCAATCCTGTCACGGAATCTTGACATTGTGGTCAATAGCGTAAACAAAATTGCTGCGAGGACCTGACATATCTCTCAAAAGTTCCGCCTGAGACTGAGACGGAACTCAGTCTCTCTTCCTTCTGACGGGAGCCAGAAGAAACTTATTTGCCTCACTATCGTTGGTTCTCCACAAATATGCACAAAATATATAGTGACATGTGCGGCGCGAGTGATGCCACAGACACACACAAATATTATATACGGAAGGAAAGAGAAGCAGACGCCGAGGATAATATGGAAATCAGAGCAAGGAAGGTGTGGATCAGGGGGACACACTCATGCTGACACACAGTTGAGAGGCGGGACCAAAGAGCCAAAGCTCGACACACAGTTGAGAGGCGGGACCCAAGAGCCAGAGCTCAACCCCCGCCAGCACAACTAGCTGAGTACACTGATAGAGAACTCAAAAACAGCAGGTGGAAGACAGGAGCTACATTATAAATCAATCAGGAAATGTGACTTTTGATAGTATTAAAAATCATTTTGTTTACATATTAAACTTTTTATAAATCCTACAAGTTTAAATATCAATGTAAAGAATTTTTTTGTTATGCTAAAAACATCGGCATATTTGTTTAAGATCCAAAACAAACGATCAAATGATTCGAGATAATTACTACTGGCGGCGAGGCCCACCTGGTGGATCCTGCTAGCACCTCTCCTCAGTCCGTCCTCCTAACATTCCCCAACGTCCAGAAAACGGTCAATGTAAAGTGGTCTCTCCTAACCTACCAGAGGACCCAAAACAGAAAACGGGACAGTACGTCACTTTCGCCAGCCGCTTCCATTTTCTAGTACGATCATTTCTGGCCTTATGTGAGGACAGATTGTAGGACAGGTTGTAGGGGGACAGGTTGTAGGAGGACAGGTTGTAGGAGGACAGGTTGTAGGAGGGCAGGTTGTAGGAGGACAGGTTGTAGGAGGGCAGGTTGTAGGAGGACAGGTTGTAGGGGGAGAGGTTGTAGGGGGGAGAGGTTGTAGGGGGGAGAGGTTGTAGGGGGGAGAGGTTGTAGGGGGACAGGTTGTAGGGGGACAGGTTGTAGGAGGACAGGTTGTAGGAGGACAGGTTGTAGGAGGACAGGTTGTAGGAGGGCAGGTTGTAGGGGGGAGAGGTTGTAGGGGGGAGAGGTTGTAGGGGGACAGGTTGTAGGGGGACAGGTTGTAGGAGGACAGGTTGTAGGAGGACAGGTTGTAGGAGGACAGGTTGTAGGAGGGCAGGTTGTAGGAGGACAGGTTGTAGGACAGGTTGTAGTGGGACAGGTTGTAGGGGAGAGGTTGTAGGGGGGAGAGGTTGTAGGGGGGAGAGGTTGTAGGGGGACAGGTTGTAGGGGACAGGTTGTAGGACAGTTTGCAAGAGGACAGGTTGTAGGAGGACAGGTTGTAGGAGGATAGGTTATAGGAGGACAGGTTGCAGGAGGACAGGTTGTAGGAGGACAGGCTGCAGGAGGACAGGTTGCAGGAGGACAGGTTGCAGGAGGACAGGTTGTAGGAGGACAGGCTGCAGGAGGACAGGTTGCAGGAGGACAGGTTGTAGGAGGACAGGCTGCAGGAGGACAGGTTGCAGGAGGACAGGTTGCAGGAGGACAGGTTGTAGGACAGGCTGCAGGAGGACAGGTTGCAGGAGGACAGGTTGCAGGAGGACAGGTTGTAGGAGGACAGGCTGCAGGAGGACAGGTTGCAGGAGGACAGGTTGCAGGAGGACAGGTTGCAGGAGGGCAGGTTGTAGGAGAACAGGTTGCAGGACAGGTTGTAGGAGGATAGGTTGCAGGAGGACAGGTTGCAGGAGGACAGGTTGTAGGAGGACAGGTTGTAGGAGGGCAGGTTGTAGGAGGACAGGTTGTAGGAGGGCAGGTTGTAGGACAGGTTGTAGGACAGGTTGTAGGGGGACAGGTTGTAGGGGACAGGTTGTAGGAGGACAGGTTGTAGGACAGGTTGTAGGAGGGCAGGTTGTAGGAGGACAGGTTGTAGGACAGTTTGTAGGGGGACAGGTTGTAGGGGGAGAGGTTGTAGGGGGGAGAGGTTGTAGGGGGGAGAGGTTTTAGGGGGACAGGTTGTAGGGGGACAGGTTGTAGGACAGGTTGCAAGAGGACAGGTTGTAGGACAGGTTGTAGGAGGACAGGTTGCAGGACAGGTTGTAGGAGAACAGGTTGCAGGAGGACAGGTTGTAGGAGGACAGGTTGCAGGACAGGTTGTAGGAGGACAGGTTGCAGGAGAACAGGTTGTAGGAGGACAGGTTGTAGGAGGACAGGTTGCAGGAGGCCAGGTTGCAGGAGGGCAGGTTGTAGGACAGGTTGTAGGAGGATAGGTTGTAGGAGGACAGGTTGCAGGAGGGCAGGTTGTAGGAGGATAGGTTGTAGGAGGATAGGTTGTAGGAGGACAGGTTGCAGGAGGACAGGTTGTAGGAGGACAGGCTGCAGGAGGACAGGTTGCAGGAAGACAGGTTGCAGGAGGACAGGTTGTAGGAGGACAGGCTGCAGGAGGACAGGTTGCAGGAGGACAGTTTGTAGGAGGACAGGTTGCAGGAGGACAGGTTGCAGGAGGACAGGTTGCAGGAGGACAGGTTGCAGGAGGACAGGTTGCAGGAGGACAGGTTGCAGGAGGACAGGTTGCAGGAGGACAGGTTGCAGGAGGACAGGTTGCAGGAGGACAGGTTGTAGGAGGACAGGTTGCAGGAGGACAGGTTGTAGGAGGGCAGGTTGCAGGAGGACAGGTTGTAGCAGGATAGGTTGCAGGAGGGCAGGTTGTAGGAGGATAGGTTGCAGAGGACAGGTTGTAGGAGGACAGGCTGCAGGAGGACAGGTTGCAGGAGGACAGGTTGCAGGAGGACAGGTTGTAGGAGGACAGGCTGCAGGAGGACAGGTTGCAGGAGGACAGGTTGCAGGAGGACAGGTTGTAGGAGGACAGGTTGCAGGAGGACAGGTTGCAGGAGGACAGGTTGTAGGAGGACAGGTTGCAGGAGGACAGGTTGTAGGAGGACAGGTTGCAGGAGGACAGGTTGCAGGAGGACAGGTTGTAGGAGGACAGGTTGTAGGAGGACAGGTTGCAGGAGGACAGGTTGTAGGAGGACAGGTTGCAGGAGGACAGGTTGCAGGAGGACAGGTTGTAGGAGGACAGGTTGCAGGAGGACAGGTTGCAGGAGGACAGGTTGCAGGAGGACAGGTTGCAGGAGGACAGGTTGCAGGAGGACAGGTTGCAGGAGGACAGGTTGCAGGAGGACAGGTTGTAGGAGGACAGGTTGCAGGAGGACAGGTTGCAGGAGGACAGGTTGTAGGAGGACAGGTTGCAGGAGGACAGGTTGCAGGACAGGTTGCAGGAGGACAGGTTGCAGGAGGACAGGTTGCAGGAGGACAGGACAGGTTGTAGGAGGACAGGTTGCAGGAGGACAGGTTGCAGGAGGACAGGTTGTAGGAGGACAGGTTGCAGGAGGACAGGTTGCAGGAGGACAGGTTGCAGGAGGACAGGTTGTAGGAGGACAGGTTGCAGGAGGACAGGTTGTAGGAGGACAGGTTGCAGGAGGACAGGTTGTAGGAGGACAGGTTGTAGGAGGACAGGTTGCAGGAGGACAGGTTGCAGGAGGACAGGTTGCAGGAGGACAGGTTGCAGGAGGACAGGTTGCAGGAGGACAGGTTGTAGGAGGACAGGTTGCAGGAGAACAGGTTGCAGGAGGACAGGTTGTAGGAGGACAGGTTGTAGGAGGACAGGTTGCAGGAGGACAGGTTGCAGGAGGACAGGTTGCAGGAGGACAGGTTGCAGGAGGACAGGTTGTAGGAGGACAGATTGCAGGAGAACAGGTTGCAGGAGGACAGGTTGTAGGAGGACAAGTTGCAGGAAGACAGGTTGTAGGAGGACAAGTTGCAGGATAGGTTGCAGGACAGGTTGCAGGAGGACAAGTTGCAGGAAGACAGGTTGTAGGAGGACAAGTTGCAGGAGGACAGGTTGCAGGAGGACAGGTTGCAGGAGGACAGGTTGCAGGAGGACAGGTTGCAGGAGGACAGGTTGCAGGATAGGTTGTTCTCCCTATTAAGACAGCAGGCAGTCTCCGCCCCTTCCTCCTACTCTTTTCTACAGCCCTACACCATTATCACCCTATTCCTCCCCTCTCCCACGACCTCTCCCTATTCACCCCGTCCTCTCGAACAGCACGTCACATTTTGACGTGTCTGAGACAAAAAGAGCAAAAATTAACGTACTCAAAAATCCCAGCGGCTCGCAAAATTGAGGTGATGTCCCGTTTTCTATTCGTGGGTGCTCGGTTAGGTTTGAACAATTTAGTACGTCAGTTTTACGTCGTTGTGACCACCACCTTCATCCTTCTCTCTCCATATTCCTGCGCGGGGCCTGAGCCTCTGGCTGGCCCGCGACGAGCTACTCATTATTGTCTTACTCATGCGGTGTGGGTGTGGGGGGGGGGGAGGGGGGAGTCTTGATGGGTCGTAGGTCAGTAGTTTCGTTAGTAGTGTGGTGTATAACTGTGTACTGTGAGAGATAAGTGTTTCAGCGGACTGTCGGGCATTTCTCCACAATGCTGACATTTCCTCTCCTCGTCTCTAAACTGTAAGGTTATTTGTAATCACATAGTTATGCTGTCTATACTGATGATGTTAATGATGCTGCTGCCGACGCCGACGACGCCGACGCTGCCGACGACGCCGGAGCCGACGCCGGAGCCGACACCAGACCCAGCCGTCTGAGGCTGGCCACGGGACAGACAGTGACTGGTCCCCCGCTGTTAGTGTACCCGGAGCGACTAATTTATGAAGGAAGCGCCAGGTAAATTTCCCGGAGACAATTAATTTCCAGCTCCGTCAGGTCGTAACTCGGTATTTATTACACCAATTGACACGCCGCCATGACAGGTGAGTACAGATAACAGGATAATAAAGATGGCGGGAGAGAGAGAGAGAGAGAGAGAGAGAGAGAGAGAGAGAGAGAGAGGAGGGAAAGAGAGAGAGAGAGAGAGAGAGAGAGAGAGAGAGGAGAGAGAGAGAGAGAGAGAGAGAGAGAGAGAGAGAGAGAGAGAGAGAGAGAGAGAGAAGGGAGGAGGGAGAGAGAAGGGGGAGAGCAGGGGAAGACGAGGAAAGAGATAGTGGGTCTTGGGAATGGGAAGATGGGGGGGGGGGGAGAGGAAGGGGCATGAGGGAGGTGGAGAGGCCAGTATGAGGATGTGTGAGGTGAAGGGATACATTAACAGGTAGGCCGTTAGAGCAAAGGAGAGTTGCGGGCTATTCATGCCCATGCACTGTCGTACATTAACAGTGTTCGAGGTATCTTTTACAGTGTCATTAATGTGCGTGTGTGTGTGTGTGTGTGTATGTGTGTGTGTATGTGTGTGTGTATGTGTGTGTGTGTGTGTGTGTGTGTGTGTGTGTGTGTGTGTGTGTGTGTGTGTGTGTGTGTGTGTGTGTGTGTGTGTGTGTGTGTGTGTGTGTCTCCTACAATGACAGGATAAGATAGTGGCTATAGAAACTAGTGTGTTATTAAGCACTTAACCACTGAAGGTGATTAAGATGCTTTTACAAGCTCAGGTTATATAGATACATCACATACATTGTATAATTGATACATTACATGGTCAATCTTGGGTACAAGTCCAATATATCATCAAGTGTTCCAGTACTCATATAGTAGTTACAGAGCTCAGCATACCTCAGCCCTGGAGGGCTAAAGTCAGTCAATATGGGACATTCTACAATATAATGTTCAAGTGAGTGCATGTTTTCTCTTTCACAAAGTTGCACTCACTAGATGCACTCGCCTAGATGAGTGCACCTAGTTGAGTACGCTCACTAAGCTCCAGTGCTACACAAGGACTTTACTTCAACTTCAAAGCTGGAGAAAGGAGTTTGAGAAAATGCTAACTGAAAGATAACAAGAGTTAGGAGGGTAGAAATAGCCTAAGCTACTCTATCCCTTTGAGATGTATTTTTTTTCTTGACTCAATAAACATACTTGAATTTGAACTTGAACCAGAGGAATGTGAAGGGAGGGAATTATCAGGGGGGAAAGCGCAAAGACATTACGACTATATAGCACTTGGAAGGGGTCAGGATAAGGATTTGGGTGGGACGGGGGGAAAGGAATGGTGTTCAACCTCTTGGACGGTCGGGGATTGAACGCCGACCTGTATGAAGCGAGATCATTTGTTTTCCCTTGTTTGGGTTAGTGGTGGAGATGGTGGGTGATTGTGGTGGTCGGTAGTGATGTTTGGTGGTGGTGGTGATGGTGACTGTGGTGGTTGTGGTCGGTAGTGGGGTCTGGTGGAGATGGTGAGTGATGGTGACTGTGGTCGGCAGTGGGGTCTGGTGGAGATGGTGAGTGATAATGACTGTGGTGGCTATGGTCGGTAGTGGGGTCTGGTGGAGATGGTGAGTGATAATGACTGTGGTGGCTATGGTCGGTAGTGGGGTCTGGTGGAGATGGTGAGTGATGGTGACTGTGGTGGTTGTGGTCGGTAGTGGGGTCTGGTGGAGATGGTGAGTGATGGTGACTGTGGTGGCTATGGTCGGTAGTGGGGTCTGGTGGAGATGGTGAGTGATGGTGACTGTGGTGGTTGTGGTCGGTAGTGGGGTCTGGTGGAGATGGTGAGTGATGGTGGCTGTGGTCGGTAGTGGGGTCTGGTGGAGATGGTGAGTGATGGTGGCTGTGGTCGGTAGTGGGGTCTGGTGGAGATGGTGAGTGATGGTGGCTGTGGTCGGTAGTGGGGTCTGGTAGAGATGGTGAGTGATGGTGACTGTGGTGGCTGTGGTCGGTAGTGGGGTCTGGTAGAGATGGTGAGTAGTGGTGACTGTGGTCGGTAGTGGGGTCCGGTAGAGATGGTGAGTAGTGGTGACTGTGGTCGGTAGTGGGGTCTGGTAGAGATGGTGAGTGATGGTGACTCGGGGACAAGGTGCGGTGTTGCCGAGCGAGAGAGAAGGCTGAGACGCGGGTGGAAGACGGAGACAGGTGGAGGGAGGCAGGTAAGGCAGGCAGGAGCGGCCCACAGCCTTGTTTATTGGCAGGGAAACACCTCGCCAGATAAGGGCCCTCCTAATGAGACCGGACAACGCCACAACAGTAGTCAACATCTTGTTATTGGCACACAGGAACGCGCCCGGCAAGATAGTGAGGGGCGCCCGGCAAGATAGTGAGGAGCGCCCGGCAAGATAGTGAGGGGCATCCTGCAGGCGCTCCTCACCTGTATGGGAGGGCAGAGCGGACAGAATTCACTGTACGCGCGATCCTGTGGTCCCGGGTTCGATCGCGAGCGCCGGCGAGAAACGATGGGATGTGTCTGGGAAGCTCCCGGTCGCAGGTTCGAATCCTCGTCACTGCCCTTGTGGATTTGTTCAATGATGGGCAGAGTTTCTTTCACCCTGATGCCCCCTGTTATCTAGCGGTAAATAGGTACCTAGGCGTTAGTCAGTCTATCACGGGCTGCTTCCTGGGGTGGAGGCCTGGTCGAGGACCGGGGGGACACTAAAGCCCCGAAATCATATCAAGATGGGGCAGGGGATGGCAAGACGGTGAAACGAAGCGGCAGAGGATGGGGTTAGAGAGGAAATGAGTGGATAGGTGTTATTGAGGCTCGGGAGGGGAAGGTAGAATGCCACCGTACCTGGGGCCAGATTCACGAAGCAGTTACGCAAGCACTTACGAACCTGGGGCCAGATTCACGAAGCAGTTACGCAAGCACTTACGAACGTGTACATCTTTCGTCAATCTTTGACGGCTTTGGTTACATTTATTAAACAGTTTACAAGCATGAAAACTTGCCAATCAACTGTTGTTATTGTTATAAACAGCCTCCTGGTGCTTCGGAGCTCATTAACTGTTTAATAATTGTAAACAAAGCCGCCAAAGATTGAGAAACGATGTACAGGTTCGTAAGTGCTTGCGTAACTGCTTCGTGAATCTGGCCCCAGCTTGCCAGCACTATCGTTATGCCCCGAAATCTGGAAATAAACCAGCTCAGCTCCTCTAACTATGGGACAGCAACGTTCCTTCGTTGACACAGGTGAACGTGGGCGGGGGGTTATCTTAAGGTTATCTTGAGATGATTTCGGGGCTTTTAATGTCCCTGCGGCCCGGTCCTCGACCAGGCCTCCACTCCCCAGGAAGCAGCCCGTGACAGCTGACTAACACCCAGGTACCTATTTTACTGCTAGGTAACAGGGGCATAGGATGAAAGACACTCTGCCCATTGTTTCTCGCCGGCGCCCGGGATCGCACCCGGGACCACAGGATCACAGTCCAGCGTGCTGTCCGCTCGGCTCCCCGGGTAGATACAGACGTCCCCGCTTCCAACGGTCCCAGGATTTACAGCCGGAGATAAGATGATGCCGGTGTCTGGTTGCGAAATGATTCTGGGGGCTGAGGAGCAGCGGCGGGCGAGACATCTCCCGACTGACAGAGATAGCCTGCGATAAGGAAGATACAAGACCTTCGAAGATGAAACAGGGAAATGAAGAGAGGTCACGTTAACATAGGAGATGTTAAGGAGGCAGAGAACAAGGTAGAGGATGATGCTGACTCCACTCAGGTTGGTCGCAAGTCATGGTGTGAGGGGCACCCCTGATGCTCCTGTCCCCCTTGCCATGTCAAGTGGCCCAACTCCGGCCATGATTTTACGCACTCTTCGCCCTAGAGGGCGAAGAGTGCGTAATTGTCGTCTTTTATGGCTTTGTGTGATTATCTACATGTGGTTTACAGGATAAGGTTATGTTGACGGGGCCCAGTCTTGTTGTGTGTGTGTGTGTGTGTGTGTGTGTGTGTGTGTGTGTGTGTGTGTGTGTGTGTGTGTGTGTGTGTGTGTGTGTGTGTGTACTTACCTAGTTGTGCTTGCGGGGGTTGAGCTCTGGCTCTTTGGTCCCGCCTCTCAACTGTCAATCAACTGGTGTACAGATTCCTGAGCCTACTGGGCTCTATCATATCTACACTTGAAGCTGTGTATGGAGTCAGCCTCCACCACATCACTGCCTAACACTTTCCATTTGTCTACTACTCTGACACTGAAAAATTCTTTCTAACGTCTTTATGGCTCATTGTAGAGCTCATTGTCTTGTAGAGCTCTGGAACTTTTCCTCTTGTCTGTTCTACTTCCCTTCCATTTCTCTATCCCACTGGATTTGTCACTGAAAGTCCCCCATCCTGCTGTAGTCCCTGTATTTGTGGTTTCTATTATTCAACAGGTTTCTTCACGGAATCAATTCCTTCAGCTCCACTATCGGGAGCCGGTCGGCCGAGCGGACAGCACGCTGGGCTTGTGATCCTGTGGTCCCGGGTTCGATCCCGGGCACCAGCGAGAAACAATGGGCGGAGTTTCTTTCACCCTATGCCCCTGTTACCTAGCAGTAAAATAGGTACCTGGGTGTTAGTCAGCTGTCACGGGCTGCTTCCTGGGGGTGGAGGTCTGGTCGAGGACCGGGCCGCGGGGACACTAAAGCCCCGAAATCATCTCAAGATAACCTCAAGATAACCATCTATTCAAGCATTATGGTCGCTAGCTCCTAAAGGCTTCTGATACTCTTTTTTTCAACATCTGCTTAATTTTGGGAAAACACCAAGTCTAGTGTTGCTGGTAGATTGTGTCTACCACCAACACTAGACTTGGTGTTGGCCAGTTCAAGAACCAACACTCTCGTTGGTTCTTGATCATACCTTGAAGCGGTTCTGGGAGTTCTTCTACTCCCCCAAGCCCGGCCCGAGGCCAGGCATGAAGTTCTGGGAGTTCTTCTACTCCCCAAGCCCGGCCCGAGGCCAGGTATGAAGTTCTGGGAGTTCTTCTACTCCCC